CTTTTCCAAACGGGGCTGTCGCTTTCGTCACCGCGTACATGTCCAAACAGTAGCACCAGTCACCCGGTGTATGGGGTGCATACTTTCATCACAGTGGCTATCGCGTAAGATCTGTTGGCGAGCCACCGTTGTATATATTACATATATAAACGCAAACGCAGTTATGTGTCAACATGTGGGATTCTTCTCACCATGAAATGTCGTGGGTTGAACCATGGCTTACCACGTTTGGGTTTTGTGCCAATAACGTGTGTAAGCATCACGACAATGCAATATGTGACAAACAAAGATGTGCAGGGGTAAAACAGTTCGTTTGAAAACAAGTGTCATACTTCGTATCAGAGCATGGAACTGAGTAACGGTTATACGGTCGGAGGGCACCTCTTACTGTACATGTGGGTTGTCGTTTGGCACATGTTTTGCTTGTTGTCCGAAACCGTATCTGCATTTAGGGGTTCTTGCGTCTTCCCGGCCATCTGGTGGTGGTGGGTTTTCGTTTTGATGAGACAGCGCCCCGCGTCTCTTTCCTCTCTTCCTCCCCCCTCCCTCCTCCCATCCTTGACTCTGCCCTCTGCAAAATCATTCTGCCACACCCCTCACACGTTTGGTGGCGCCATAAGGAGGTCTACCGAAGGCTTCAGTGGCAGGGTTCGCATGCGGTTCCCCGCCCAATCCAGCACATCCTTCACACACTTCTTGGCCCCATGGGGAGCTCCGCCGAAGGCCTTAGTGCCAGGGTTCGCATGCGGTTCCCCGCCTGTGTCGGCAGACACCTCACATGTTTCGTGGCCCCATGGGGAGCTCCATCGAAGGCCCCAGCGGCAGGGTTCGCATGCGGTTCCCCGCCTATGTCGGCTCACTCCTCACACGTTTCGTGGCCCTATGGAGAGCCCAGAGCCCCACCGAAGGCTTCAGTGGCAGGGTTCGCATGCGGTTCCCCGCCTAAGTTGGCACACTCCTCGCACGTTTCGTGGCTCCACAGGGAACCCACCGAAGGCCTTAGTGGCAGGGTTCGCGTGCGGTTCCCCGCCTATGTCGGCACACTCCGCAAACGTTTCGTGGCCCCCTAGGGAGCCCCACCGAAGGCCTCAGTGTCAGGGTTCGCATGCGGTTCCCCGCCCATTTCGGCACACCCCTCACACGTTTCGTGGCACAATTGGGGGCTCCACCGAAGGCCCCAGCGGCAGAGTTCGCATTCCCCGCCCATTTCGGCACTCCGCAAACGCTTCGTGGTCCCATGGGGAGCTCCACCGAAGGCCCTAGTGGCAGGGTTCGCATGCGGTTCCCCGCCCATTTTGGCACACCCCTCAGACGTTCATGGCCCCATAGGGAGCTCCACTGGAGGCCACGGTTGGAGGGCTCGCATGATGTTCCGCAATGTCTGTATATCCTTTGCACGTGTCGTGGCCCGATAGGGGGCTCCACCGAAGGCCCCAGTGGCAGGGTTCGCATGCGGTTCCCCGCCCGTGTTGCCAGACCCTTCACACGCTTCGTGGCCCCATATGGAGGTCCACCGAAAGCGATGCCACAACGTTATGCTCACAACTGCGTATGATTGGATCCTCTGCCAGGATCAGTTTCTAAGGAACTGGGCCTGCGGGCTGGTGCGGTCCCTCGCCGCCGCGCGTCGTTTGGGCATGCGGGCCGTTCAGGCGGGTAGCTTGTCTCCATCGCCGCCTCGTCGCCGACTCGTCGCCTCCCGTCGTCTGGGCCAGGGTGGCGGTCTGGCTGTTCCGTGCTTGCCGTCGCCGCCTCCGTCGTTGCCCCGTCGCCGCTTCGCGTAGATTTTACCTGATAGTAGAATATCAGGATCTACCTCTCCCCCTGGATGGACTTAACGGCCCGCATTCTGCACACTGAAGTATGAATTCGCACCATCCCAGGCAGGCGCTTATCGAACACGCTTATCGACCATATTCGCGCACACACGTTCATCACAAATCACCAGTTTTCCACAACCCCTTGAAATTCATCAGAAGAAGTGCTCGCGCGCGTCGTCGCGCGCGCATGCTGGAATTTTTGGAAACCGTAGGTGGATTTCAAACTCGAACCTTTCGAAATCATGTTTAAAATCCCCAACAAGAGTTTACAACAAGGCATCATGTCTTCGCGCCTTTGCCAATTATTCGGAAACCGTTGGTTGTCAACATGTTTCAGGATGCTACCAAACGTGCCCCTCGCGCGAGCATATCGAAATCGTTCGAACGCATTTGCGCGCGTGTTGTCGCAAGGACCCACTGCAATAAACAGACCGCGTGCAAAGCACATTGTTTGGCACATTCTTACGACACCAATCGGTTTTCCAACATGTTCATACAATTCGATCAAACGGGTCCCTCGCGCCGCATGCCGAAATCATTATAATGCACTGGCGCGCGTGCTGGGAGGGGCGCGATCCGTATCACATAATTCTTTGCGGGCCACTCGCGCGCGTCGGCCGTGCGCGCACGTCGAACTCTTTCCAAAACCTCCATCACCAATGCGAGGACATCGTCATCGCATCGGCGCCATGAATGGCCTTGCCGTCGCCACCGTCACCATCGTCACCATTATCGCTGCTATCATCGCCATGTCCACCGTTGCCAGTGCCGCCTTGATACCACGCCCGCCCAAGTCACCGACTCGGACATGAGTGCCTGTTGGGAAGCGCCCAGCGGTCAGTGCATCCGCGGCCGCGTCGGCCGCGCCAAACTATCTGGCCGCTGCGCGCGCGAGCGCGCGCGGGCTAGCACGGCCGCAGAGACGCACCAGCAAACGCCCAACACTCATCGCAATCGCCGCCGCATGGGTTTTGCAAACCCAAGTTGCGGGTGGGCGGGTGGGATGATTGCGCGAGCAGTGGAGTTGACAGCTCCAAGTATGTTAAATTTAGTTGCGCCGTTTATATTTTCGTTTCTACTAAGTAATAGTACCTACCCCGCCTCCCCCCCGGACAGCATTGCAAGGTGCATATAATGCTACCCCGTCGCCCAGCGTGCATGTGATTTCATGTCGCCCCAGCCAAACCGGCAACGGCCCCCCCCCGCCATCCTTTGCGCAAGCTCACATGCGCGCGCATTCGCGCACTAAACATCCCCAGTTTCCGTGGACGGTTTTCAAACAACGGAACCAAGCTTGCGCGCGCGTCGCCGCGCGCGCGCCGAAATTATACAACAAACATGGGGCGACGAGGGTTTTGAAATCGAGCGCCCCGACAATATATAAACGCATGGTTTGCAACAGGAGCTTTCGCGCCAAGGATAGTTTGCGCTCGCGTTGCCGTGCGAATTCTTGAGAAAACCGTAGGTGTGTTAAGATTGTCATTACATGCTGCCAGATGGGCCATTCGCGCGCGCACCAGAAGCGTTCGAACGCCCATCTCTAGCAACGAGCGGGACGAAGTGCGCGCGCGCGTCGTTGCGCGTGCATGCCAAGATCCCCCAGAAACTGAGGGTTGCGCGGGGATTTCAAAGTTGGGCTTGCTGGGAAGTTTGTAGTTTCACTGGTATATATATATATAACTATTATTCTATCAACATAGAATCAGATTGTTTGGGCGTAGACCCGACATCCTGCGGCCTTCTGCTGCTCGACAAAAAGGCAGCACCCCCCCCCCCTTCTCCGCGACCGGGGTGGGGGGGCACGCGCGTTGTAGCGGAGCTCGCTCGAGGTTTGCGGGCCAGCTCCGCACCCGGCGAGCTCCGGGGGCCGGTCGAGGGCCGCGGAAGCTGTGGCGAGACGATTCGCGCTGCTCTACAACGGAATGCCCCTTGCTGGCCAGAGTCGCGGGATTGCCCGCGCCCTGGCAAGGCAGTCAGCACGAGATTTCGGCTCGAGCCCTCGAGCATGTTCAAGGCTAAGCCCGCGAGCAAGCGCAAGGCGAAGAAGGCGGGCAAGCGCGGTGGCATAGCCCCAGAGGCGAGAGCCCACCGCCAGAACCGAGGGAGCGCCTGGGGGAAGCTGGCCGAGCGCGGCGACGCTGCTCAGCGCGCGGAAGAAGAGCGAGCAGCGGTGAAACGACAGCTCGGGCTCGATCTCCAGCAGCAGTCGAAGGCCGACATGGAAGATGGGGGGTCAAGTGCGAGAACTCGTCGCGCAGGTGCAGAGGCTGATGACAGAGAGTCAACAGGTGAGGGGCGAGCTTCAGCAGCGAGATCTAGCGATAGCCGAGATGCGAGGTCAGTTTCAAGGACGATCCGACAGAGAACGAGGGCCTCGCGGCGAGATGATGGACCCGAAGATTCTTCACACTGTGAAGCCGGTCGACTGTCTGGGAGCGAGCTGGCAGACGTTTAGCTTCCAGTGCAAGGCCTACCTGATCGCGCAAGACTGAAGGCGTCGACCTCATCCCGAGAAGTGCGAGGATGGAGCGCGGGACGTGGACAGCGTGAACCTGTCAGCCCAAGAGGGGGAGCTAAGCACGCAGCTGCACTTCGCCCGGGCCCCAGTCACGCCCGAGGCCTCGGTGGGCGAGATGATCGTCAGGAGCAGCAGCACGGGCGAAGGAGCAGCTTGCTGGAGGCAGCTCCAGAAGAAGTACAATCCAAGCGAAGCAGGCAACGCGCTGGCGATGTGGGCCAAGCTTACGGACGCGACGTTCGAGGCAACAGACGACGCGATGGTTGGCATCAGCATGCTCGACGAGGACATGACGGGGTACCAGAAGATGTCGGGCGAGCCCGTGCCGGAACTCATCGAGCGAAGAATCTTCGCCAGGGCGCTCAAGGATCACGCGGAGTTGCAGAGGCACGTGTCTCGGAAAAGCAGTCGGCTGAACGCGCGCGAGCTTCTGCGAGCCGAAGTCGCGTCGGCGCTGACGGCGGAGCGCGCGGCCCACGACGATCCGATGGACATCGGCGGGTTGAAGGGGAGCAAGAAGGCGCGGAAAAAGGCCGCGGCAGAGGCAGGGGAGGCAAGGGCAAGGAGAGGCCGCCGAGCCCAGACGCCGACCCGGAGGACGCTTACTGTCACAAGAAAGGCCACTGAAGCGCCGACTGCCGCAAGCGGATAGCCGACGAGAAGAAGGCAGCCGCCAACCACGGCAACAAGGACAAGACGCAGCGCAGAAAAGACCAGTTCAAAGAGAAGAAGAGGGTCGCGGCAGAAGCGGTAAAAGATCTCGAGAGGTTGCGGCAAGCATGAGTAGCTCCAGCGACAGGGTCGACGATGCACACGCAGCCTCTGCCAGGGACGCACATCAGTGCCGAGAGCGCAGTGGCACTGCCCGTCGCCTCACCAGCCTGCAGAAGGCTGCAAGCGAAGATGATTCTGGGCTTGAGGGCCGAGGTCAGAAAGCACGAACCCACGGGACCGATTGGAAGTACACGCTGTCCGCCTATCACGAGTTCATCTGCATCTCGTGCACGGAAATATTCAGGGGCAGAAGATGGCACTGCGAAGAGTGGAAGCTGGACTTCTGCAGGACGTGCGCAGAATACTGCCTGGACAAGCACAGGCACTCGAAGTTCGAATTCTCGTAGCTGCTGCGAGTCAGCTGCGGTCGGGCCCGCGCTGCTCGAGATCGGAGTCCTACAGGGGCAGGTGCCAGAAGACGACCGACTGCGGCTAGCCCCGCTTCGGAATGCCATCATGCTTGGCTCCGGCGCACAGGTCAGCGCCGTGCCGAGAAAGTAGGTGACCCAGTGCAACTACACGCCGCCGGTCAGCAACGTCGTTGGCTTGAAGGGTACCGGAGGCGAGGACGTGGAGGTACGGCCATGCGGAGCTCAACCTGCCGAGAGGAGGAGAGGTAATCCAAGTTGGCGTGGAAGTTGCCGATGTGGAGTATCCCGTTGTGGCTACGGATGCGGTAGTGCAACGAGGCCGGAGCGTTCTTCATAACCCTGCAGGCCGCTGGATCATCAACGGCACCATCGAGCCACCTGAAGGAGCTGAATTCGTACCTCTACGACGCCATCAGGCAAACTACTACTTCGAGTACGATCACATCACAGACGGCAAGAACAAACCAGAAGTCACACAGGTAGCAGCAGTGAGGAAGACGCTACCGCGGAAGGTCCCAGCTGAACGAGGAGCTGGATCTTTGCCGAGGGCTCTCGGCCCAGAGGCGGACGAGACTACGACTGCGCCGACGAGAGTGCTGAAGCCACCCTACCAACCTAGTGCTGCGGAGAGGGCCGCGCACGAGGGGCATCGCCTACCGTTTCGCCCCCGGTGCCCATTGCGCGTGGAAGCTCGAGCGGGCGACGGTCCACATTGCGTGCAGGAGCCAGCGGACGAGAAGCAAGCGTCGAAGGTGGTGTTCGACATCTTCTACGTTGAAAGTGACCAGCTGGCGGCTAAGTACCAGCTCAAAGGAGACAACTCCAGCATCCGTGAGAAGCCGCTGGTACCGAAAGCAGATCTCGAACAGGCGATTGCGGTCCTGAGCGTGATCGATTGCAAGATCTTGGCAAATGCGACGCCGCATGCTAACAAAGAGTTGGATGACTGCAAGGTGTCCTTCCTGGTAGCTGTGCTAGAGGTCTGGGGTCACGCGACGGTTGTACTCCAGACAGACCCGGGGCCTGCCGCGATGGCCCTGGCGAGTGCAGTTTGAGATCGCAGGTTATTTTCTACCTTGGCGTGGGCATCGCCGCCTTTCTCTAAGCAGAGTGCTGGCTACGCCGAGGGCGCCGGCAAGCTTGCTGCAGGTTTGCTACGGACCTACAAGCTGAAGCTGGAGCACCAGTTGGGGTTCGAGATCAACATGGCGGATCCGATCGCGCCTTGGCTCGCCAACTCCAGGTTCCAGCCGCGAAGCCGCGGGGGCTTTTCCCACGAGATGCTGCGCGGCAAGGAGTATAGTGGGGAGATCGCGGAGATGGGCGCGCAAGCCTGGAGAGGGATCTCAGCCCGGGTTGCTGCTGGACGCGGCAGGTGGGAGGCCCGCTTCGCGAATGGGATCTGGGCTGGAAAGAACGAGTTGGACGACGCTCACCTCGTGATCGACTTAGAGCGCGGCGGAGGACCGCGCGGAGGATGCCAGAGGGGTTCAGGTGGCAGCCTGAGCTCATCCAGAACACCAGGGCGACACCGTGGAAGCACATCCCTGACAAGAGTGCAGGACACATCGTACGCAGCATGTACATCACGGATCGCATGATTGACGCTCGCGGCCCGACCGACGACTGCAGGAAATGCAGCAGTGGATATGGATCGCATTCGGCAGCCTGCCGCCAGCGGTTTGAGACTATCAAGGCCGACCTCTTGCGCGAGAAGGTGGGGAAGGACCTTGTGGCCCCAGAGGCTACGGCGGCGGTGCCAGCCCCGGCTGCGGGGGCTCCCGCGCCTGGAGCAGCGGCTGGGCCAGCAGCGGCGTCGAGCGGCAGTGAGGTAGCGGTGGTAACCGCAGCTGTTGCAGAGGACGCGGCCATGCCTCCTGCCCCAGGATAGGCAGAAGCACAGGCAGCCATGCAGACGGAACCTAATCAGTTCAGGAGCGACTTCCACCGACCCCGAGAGAATTTTTGGACGAGGACCTGCGCCAGAAGGGTCGCGACGACGAGCTGCAGGCCATGAAGGACTATGGAGTCTACGTGGAAGTGGCGACGTCGACGGCGACCGCAGCAAGCAGATCGGGGGCTTCCCCATAGCCCACATGAAGGAAGGCCGAGCCAGGTGGAGGTTCGTAGCGACGGAGATCAACAAGCACGAGGTGCGCGAGGACAACCGCCAAGGCACGCCGCCGCTCATGATTGTAAGGGCGACGTTAAGCCGCGCCGCATCGAGCCCTACTTCGACAGGAGAGCGCGCGCAGATGATCCAGGTCTGGGACGTCCGGAAGGCTTTCTTCAATGCCGACCTTGACGAGACGATCTACGTGCATCCTGGACGCGAGCTGTGCCATCCTGGGTGGTGCAGGTGGCTGCGGAAGCCAGGGAAGGCACCAGGAAGGCATCGAAGATGGGGAGAGCTGGTGCGGACTACCATGGGCGACGGAGGCTGGGAATGCTTGGCGGCGACGCCCAACGTGTTCTACTTACCAGCGAGTCCCAACATCCTTGCCGTCGATGAGGATAGCACAGCGATCTGCCACGGGGATGACTTTCTGGCCGAAGGCTGGGACGAGCAGCTGGACGAGTTGGACGAGTTGCTGAAGCAACAGTTCGAGGTCACAGCGGGTGCCAGATTGGGCCCTGGAAGACCTGGGCGGACGATCTACCTCAAGGGGACCATCGGGTACACCGACATGCTGCCAGGCTCCGAGGATCCAGGTTTTTTTCTGGGCAGTGGATCCTAAGCACACGGAATTCATGATTCAGTGGGCACAGAAGCGAGGGCGCAAGCCAGCTCCTACTCCAAGGACGAAAGCTACAGGACAAGGACGACGAGATAGCTTAGACCTTCTGTCCAGGGATCGAGCTCGGGAAATTGCAGGTGCAGCAGGCACGGCGCTCTACCTCTCTTCGGACAGGTCCGACACGATGCATGCCAGCAAGACTGCGACGCAGCACGTCTCAAATCCCAACGTTCTGATGCATGCGCGAGTTCAGCGGCTTGGACGGTATTATGAAGGTCAGTCCGTGCTGGTCTTGTGTTATCCTTTGCAGGGAACTCCTTAAGGCATTCGTGTGGACGGAGGTGTATACTGGGCCCCTACAAGTGAATTGCAGAGACGATCCACGAGCGGAGGAGCAGTGCGGCATGGTGACCACGCGTGGGGCTGTTACTCAGTGACGCAGGGCCCCATGGCTCTAAGTTCAGGGGGGGGGGGCCGAATGTATGCTACAGGCAGTGCGACTGCCAGAGGACTCCAGTGCAAGACCTACCTGGTCGAGACCCAGAGGCCCTGCAATCTGAAGGTTTACAGCGACAGCACCGCGGGACGGGGCATGTGCAGCAGAGTGGGCGTGGGCAAGGTCAGGCACTTGGAACTGAGGTACTTGTGGATTCAAGAGCGGCTGCGACTCCAGGCGTTTGAGCTCCTGGCGGAGGACGCCAATGAGATGACGGCAGACATGCTCACCAAGTACAGCGAGTGGTCGATGATAGAGAATCACTGCACCACTCTGAACCGCACTTTCGGGAGACAGTTCAAGGGCTTGAGCGCGATGGCAGTTTCCACGGGAGTCGCGACTTCTGCGCCAGGCGAGAAGGTGACGGTGCACGAGGAACCAGGCCAGGCAGCGGTTTGCCCCGCACCTTTGCCCCACTACGCGGATCGCGAGGAGTTCTGGCTCATCCTTAAGACGGGTGTCTTCGTGGTGAGAGTTGCAGCATTTATTCTAGGATGCGCGTGCGGTTGCTACGCGAGGAACTACTTCAAGATGGACCTCATCCAGGAGGCGGTTGCCCCCGTTCCTGGAGACGCCGGCGTCTACCTGACTACGTCGGCTGACACGGAGGTCAAGACCATGAGCGCACAAGGACTTGGCACAGTGCCTCGCCCCGCGCAATGCGACGGAGGAGCGAGGCACAAGCTTTTCAACGCGTTTCCCGTGGTCGACTTGAAGCAGATCTTGAGAGCCAAAGGCCAACGCGTGAGCGGTCTCAGAGACGACCTGATCATGAGGCTGGTCAAGAGGGGCAACGTCCGATCGGATCGCCATGCCAAGGAGATCGGTCAGCTGAGAGTGACGGCTACGATGCGCGGACCCCTGATCAGGATCAACCGACAGGACTTGAGTAGTCCTGAGGCCGCGCAAGAGTGGATTGAGACGTTCAAGAGTGATTGCCGAGATCGCCCCGATGGCTCGAAGTTGATCCACCCAGAAAGCCAGACGGATGGTCGCAGGAAGCACCGCGACAGCCGAGGCTGAGCTAACGACAAGCTTGCGGTTAGTCCCGCGTCTGCCCACGGCGGTTAGACCCGCGCGCGGGCTGAGGGCCCGCGGGGGGTTCCGCGGAAGGCCCGCGGAAAGGGGCCGCGAAGCTGGCCCCCCGCTCGTGCTTCTCGGCTGGGGGCCGAGCCGCTTCCCTGCACCCGTGGAGAGGTGCTGGTTGTAGTTGGGGTGTGCAGCCAGTGGCGTACCCCCGCGCCCGAAACATGGTTTTTGGGCGCCGTGAGTTTGCACCCTTACATGTGTCGATTCTCAATGACACTGGGTGCGTGAAAACGGAACCTCCAATACATGGCTCATGAACGCATGAAAATCATCCTCCCTTCCTCCTCCCTTCCCCCTCCCCTCCTCCTCCCTTTATCCTCCCTTTCTCCTCCCTTCCTCCTCCCTTCCTCCTCACTTCCTCCTCCCTTCCTCCTCCCTTCCTCCTCCTTCCTCCTCCCTTCCTCCTCCCTTCCTCCTCCTTTCCTCCTTCCTTCCTCCTCCCTTCCTCTTTCCCCTGCGCTCCCCTACGCTCCCCTACGCTCCCCTACGCTCCCCTACGCTCCCCTACGCTCTCCTACGCTCCCCTACGCTCCCCTGCGCTTCCCTACGCTCCCCTACGCTCCCCTACGCTCCCCTACGCTCCCCTGCGCTCCCCTACGCTCCCCTGCGCTCCCTGCGCTCCCCTGCGCTCCCCTACGCTCCCCTGCGCTTCCCTACGCTCCCCTGCGCTCCCCCTGCGCTCCCCTGCACTCCCCCGCGCGCTCCCTTGCGCTCCCCTACGCTCCGTGTGTGAAAACAATACGCGGCGGATGTCGGGACATTTTTTTGTCAATTCTGATGGAGGGGAAGAGAGAGAAGTGTTCATATTGAGTAACTGTAGAGGTGGGCCTTGAGGGAACGGGCCATTGCTGCCGCGCTGATGCCGTGCCCCCTGCTCTCCCATAGCCGTTTTGGCACGTGAGGGCACGCGAGCTGCACGAGTAATCCGCGCAGACACATCTGGCACTCAACGCAAAAGACGACGCCGTGATGATGTGAGTTTTTCTGTGGCGGTTGGTTGCCATATTTCCAAATACATTAGTTGTGGAAGACAGACGCCAGAGAGGCAACTTACTGGAGTTTGCGAAATCTCGAGCATCGCCCCACTCTCGTCTTCAGACCCCAGGACTTCTGAGTTCTTGTGGCCGCCAGAGTCTTGCATCGAGTGGTCTCTCAGCAAGGTTGAAAATATTGATCCACCTCTTCCTTTACCGACACAATCCTTAAAGAAAGGCACTTCTTTCGCGCGCCATTTCAAACTGGGCAGCGCCAGCGGAGGTGATCATCCTGCTCTTCGCGACGTCAGCGTTTGCATTATCTTGCCGAGGATGCAACGCAGAGACTTTTGGCTTGAGGAGCGCAAGACTTTTGTCACGCACGTCCGCGCAGCATCCGAGGCTGGCGCGCAGAGTCTCGTAGAAGATTCTTCTGCTCAGCACGCTCCCGCTCCGTCGGATCAGGAGCCCCCTGCCGATGATGATCGCGATGGCGACGAAGATGATGAGAGGTATTCGCTAGAAGCTATTGTGTCTGCTGTTCTCAAATCGTCTGAAATCACGAATCAAGATCGGTTCGAGCTCGTCGTGAAGAACGCCTTGAAGTACAACGGTTCTGCTGAAGAGCCCCAATGCCGATTTCCAAATCGTACAGCTCTTGACAGATGGAGGGCGAAGATGGACCGCATGCTTATGTTGTACCGTAGGGCTCAGTGGGACCGCGGATACTATCAGGATTGCTTCTTCCAGCTCGGCGCCGACTCCTCCCCACAAATAGGCGAGGACTTCTTCGTCGTCCGGGAGGAGGTCCTGACCGTCGAGCGCAGACCCGGGTGGGAGAATAACCCACTCGCAGTTCTTACAGTCGAAAGCCGCACCAAACCTTTAACGACATTGGGGTGGGGTGAGTCAGGGCTGGGCAAGACGCACGCGCGCATGGCCCATATATGTATTCTCGAGGCTGGGGAGACTCATCAGGAGGCATACCGTTCCAAAATGCGACAGGGTTACGCCGACCAGGGTACAGAGAAGGACTTGTGGGCTTGTCCGAATATTCTTGGTATGGATGGGACCAACGATATCATTAATCGTCTCAGGACTGGAGCTCTGAACATCAGCGACGTCGACGTCATGCGAGGGCGAATGTGGCCACGCGCATGGGAGACCCCAGGCCACTTGCACATCTTGTTTAACGCACTGAAGAAGGGCGTAAATGCAATACCACATTGGAAAGAGCTCGAGACAGGCCTCAGGCCTCAGGTCTTTGGGCGTCTTCCTTGGCAAGCGGGGCTTGCGGCGACGACTTATCAGCAAATGTTGTTCTAACCACGCTCACGCGGCTTCTGTTTTCAAGGGATGGTCTGGCGGAAATTTCTCATGGAGGTGGGAGAAGCTCTATGTGTTCTTGTTGCAGCTGAGGTACCGCATCAAACTTTTGATTGAGCTCTGGGACTCTGACAAAATGTCGAGCAATGAGGCGAATCGGGACGGGGGCGACGTAGACGTCCACGACAACAGCATCATCGGCAGAGTCACAACTACACTTGCTATACCATCACTCGAAACATTGGTCGAGTTGCTTTTCGTAAAGGTGAAGGCCGTTTGCACGGAGGCGTCTTGGCTCGAGGGTTGCCATTGCCATCCGCGCCGGGCCGATCGAGATGAAGATTCATTGCCTGGGCAGGGCCGCGAGCGCGGGGATTATGGGCGGTGCCCGTGGGCAGGGCGTCGCATAGTTGAAATCGCCATGGGTCGTTCGCAGCGTGCCCAAACATCTTTGGTGGGAGCTACTAGTGATAGGCTCACTCGGTTGCTCAACAATTGCGATGGGCTTTCTCGTGCTGGCTTTCTTCAGGCCAACGACATCTTTGTCGCTACCATGGCAGCAGAGCTGTCGGCAACATTTGCATATGCGACTGAGTATCCGTTCAAGCTATTGAGAGTGATGTCTTCTTCTTTCGGTGGGTCGACGGCTGCTTCGAAGGAGGCTTACGTCGAAGCATTTGCTTGGTGCGACGCTTTGGCCGACAAATCTAAATGTCCTGGTTGCTCGTCGCTGTTCTTGCAACCTGGCGATCTACGAACAGCGGGGCAAGAGTATATAGGTGCGGACCGCGTGCCTCTACATGAGTGGTGGGATTTGTTTCAGGAGCTGGTCGTCGCCAGTGCGCTCCTACTCGTGGAACGGCGGCTGGAAGGGCAGCGCTCAATTATCGGCGCTGATGGCAAGCAGGCTTTGACCAACACAAAATTACCTCCGAGCGTCTGCGCAAATTTGCGACACTGCCAAGTCCGAGAAGCAGTCGAACAATAATTATTCTGGCATGTATTGGAGACAGAATGGTATGGGAGAACCTCATGGCTTCAATTGCTCCGTCACACTATGAACTCGACCACGCTTCATTGCATGGCCCCGGCCAAGCGATTGGAGAAGCTTTATGTTCACGACGAGAAGTCCTGCTTTGGCACAGATGCAGGCGTGAGGGACTGCATGCGCGCTTGGCGCACGACGGTCGCCGATCAAGTCGCGGTGCCCAGGCCGCCACCTCTCACAGAGTCTCAGTCCTGCTTGGTTGATCATTTCAAGTTCGTTCTTCGACGAGGGGCGTTGCTTTCAATGCGTGTTCATGGTGGACCAGAGCCTGATGCAGATCCAGAACCACCATGTGATGCTGATTTTATCATTGACATCTTCAGGGCGGATCCTATTCCTGGGCCGCCACCGCCCGGTGAGGAGTTGAAGTTTTACGAGGTTCTCCACCTTAATCCGAGCGGCCGAACGGCAGCTCGCACTGCGACTGGGGCACGCATGCCGTCATCCTGCATCAGCGTCCGTGAGCTGAAATGCATCGAGATCATTGAGCCAGGTCCGATGGGGCAGAACGTCCAATGCATTCCACGATTGAGGTTAGATGTCCAAGGCTGGCCACAAACTAATGTGAACCCTTCCAGGGGGGTGAGTCGTGATTCAGGCACATCCCAAACTAGCCTCATGGTTGGATTGCATTGTTTTTTGTTTTTGTTTTTTTCCCCCATCGTCAGGTCGCATGCGGATGGATATTGCCAATTACACTTCGGAGTTGCTCGATTTGGCGCAGTGGACTACCCGACCTGGTCTTCGACACGCGTCTGCTTCAGTGAGGGTTTGGTCCCTCGCTCACGTGGACACAAGTCTGGTCGCGATGGATGGTGAGCTGCTGGCCTTGGAGGATCAACCTCCAGCAGGACCGCCTGGAGAAGAGGGCGAGGCGGGTCTGGAGATTGTACCCGTTGATGACGTCGTCGACGGCCATCGTAAGGTTCTCGTGGCGCTGGCTGATCTGAGCAAGCGCTATCCCGACGGCGCCCCAGAGGTTGGCAATCCTGCTCTTGATGATCTCAACATTGTTGCCCTGAAGTCATTGTTCCAGTCTGGCATCGTGGTCAAGGAGGTGAGCGATTTCGACGACTCGGTATTGAGGTTGGACTGGGCGAAAGTCAAGTGGACATCCGATCAGGTAGGGTTCAACCCCGTGGGTTTGGTCTGGGCTGAGAAGGATGTGCGCAGTCTCCGGGACATGTCTAAACTTGCTTTGGTACAGGGTATGCTCTGCATGGGTTGGGAGCCACAGCGATATCCAGATTCGATCAAGGCAGCGGCCGATTCAGTGTTTGCTATCGAGAACATCCTCCGCAGCAAGTCGTATTGGATTGCTTTGCATAGCGCTGGCTCTATTCTAGGAGAGCGGGGCGTGACAGAGGTCCTGCACAACAAGCCTCAAGGTTATTATGAGTGTTTGCTACATCTGCCTGTGGACAAATTGGGAACCACGTTAGCAGACGCAGACTTCCCCAGGTATAAGAATCAGGATTTCCTTCGACTCTTGAGAGGAGAAGGGGTTGACATAGCCCCACTTGCCCTGGCTGACGGCCCGGCGCTTGCCATCGATGATGGCGTGGCTGACTTTGCAGCCATGGTGC